ATATATAATGAATGTTTTTTTTTAGGAAGTCTTTAAATAAAAAGTTCATTGGGGCGCCTGGGTGGTTCAGTTGTTTGAGCGCCCAACTTCAGCTTGGGTCATGGTCTCGCAGGTTTTGAGTTTGAGCCCACGTCAGGCTCTGTGCTAACAAACAGCTCGGAGCCTGGAGCCTGCTTCAGATTCTGTATCTCTCTCTCTCTCCCTCCCCTGCTCATGCTCTGCCTCTCTCTGTCTCTCAAAAATAAATAAATGTTAAAAAAATTTAAAAAAATTAAATAAAAAGTTCATTTATCTGCATACCTTATTTTTTGGTTATAGCCACTAAGATATGTTGTATTGTTTAAGTAGTGGTGTTTGGTCAGATTAGTAGAGTATTTGATATTTTTATAAACTTGGTGGGCCAACCTTCATAAACTGTGTCACATTTACTCAAGTTTCTATATTTTATTTTATAGCTTGGATCTTTCTTCTTCCATTATGATAGGGTATAGCTTTGACAGGTATTATCATTTAGAACAAGGGATTGGCAAGCTGTGGCTTATGGGCCAAATCTGGTCTGCTGCTTGCTTTGTAAATAAAGTTTTATTGGGACACAGCCATACCCATTTGTGTATGTATTGTCTGTGGCTGCTTGTACACTCAAAGGCCAAATGGAATTGTTGCAAAAGAGACATTCTGGCCAGAAAACCGACCTATTTACTATCCCATCCTTTACACAAAAACTTTGCTGACTCCTAATATAGAAGTTATAATTTTTGGAAATTATGTTTCTTTTCATGAAAAAGGGAAAGCCTGACAAACATTGTTTTATGTTTAGTATAAATGAAACCTAAGGTGCTCATTTGACCCTAGGATTTTCTTCAGAGGCAAATTTGGCTTTTGGTACATTTTCTTAAAATACTATTTAAATACTATTTAATCTATCATATTTCATAAATTCATTCAAATTTGTACTACTTTTGTTGTGTGAATGTGAAAAGACAATTAAAAAAATCTAAAGATTTTTATTCAGAAAGTATAGATTTAGTTGGATAACAATAGTAGAAAAAATTTTCTAAGACAACCAGAGAAATGTGAACATTGCTGAAATATATTTTGATTCTAAAGATTGTTTATTTTTTATGTGTCAATTGCTTATGCTGAGGTTCTGTTTTTTAAAAATTCATATTTTAAATTAAAAAAATAAAAATTGAAATCAAATTAAAAATGGTTTCAAAGAGTTACGTGCTTATTGTTTAATTTGGTTGTTACATGTTATTTCCAAATACAGCAAGTTCTCCTTTATTTGCACTTTGTATATAAGCTTTTAATGATCAATAGCCATTAATTGTCTTTCATCAGTTTTATATATTTATGATGAACAAAGAAGCAACAGATAAAATAGATAGAAATCAGTTTTAAGTCCAAAGAAATAACTATCATTTTCTCCTATATCTTTCTTTTCCAGAATAATATATTTTGATTATTGGGATCCGTGAGCAATCTTGAGAGCTTTCTGAATCACGAAATGACACTTTTTAGGCTGATTATGGAGTCATGGTTCTCTGGAAATGGGTGGTTGCCAGCCATGAGATTGCAGTTCGCGTCTTGTATTTGCGCCCATAGCCCTTGCCTGGACCTTGACTGTGCTAGTGCTTGCTGCCGCAGCCAGAGGGCAGCTTGGAGGAGGTTTCATTCCCCCCACCCCAGGGCTGCTTCCAGTAGAGTGTTGCTGCTTTTTGTTTTACATCACCGTGAGACTTGTTTTAATGTAAATTACATTGGGTAAAACACAAGGAAAATACTGTCCCTTAAGGAATTTTGACCCCCTAGCTTATTATTACTTGTTTAATATCTTGCCAATGTTTGTTTAATGCTTAGTATGCTTTAGGCACTCTTGTAAATGCTTGGGTATGTCAATGAAAAAACAAAGATTCCCATTCTTACGAAGCTTACAGTTTATTTGAGGAAGATAGAAATAAATAATAGACATATAAATTATAAAGTGTATAGTATGTTAGAAGGTGAAAAAAATGTGAAAAGAATAGAATGACAGGGATTGAAAGTCCTAGGTAGGGGAATACAGTGTGTTGGGTACAGTTTTTTTTTTTTTTTTTTTTTTTTAGGTTTATTTATTTTGAGAGAGACTGAGTGTGAGTGGGAGAGGGGCAGAGAGAGGGAGAGAGAGAATCCCTAGCAGGCTCCATGCTGCCAGCGCAGAACCTGACATGGGGCTTGAACTCACAAAACTGTGAGATCATGACCTGAGCTGAAACCAAGAGTCAGAAGCTTAACCAACTGAGCCACCCAGGTACCTCATGTTGGGTACAGTTTAAATAGGCCTCCTCAAAGGAGACATTTGAGCATATGAGGGAATATGCCATTTGGGAAATAAGGAAGAGCCTAATAGAGGGAACATTCAGGGTGAATGCCTTGAGGCTGGAGGTTCCTTGACATGTTTGTGTTTTTATAGGAGGCTGGAGTAGGGTAAGCAAAGGGGCAAGGGGAGTAAGAGATGAGGTAAAGAGGGAGCAGAAAGGATCAGATCACTTGAGAGCTTGTAGATTCTTATGAAGACTCCAGTGTTTACACGAGAGTTCTCATGAGAGGTTTTACAAGTTTTGAGAGGAGGGATATAATTTTTGTCTGACTTGTGTTTTACAAGGATGTCAGTGGCCAGTGAGCATAGACTGGGACAGGGAGCAAAGCAAGGCAAGCATTAAAATATTGAGTCCATTGCAACAATCCAGGTAAGAGATGATGGTAGTTCAGAGAAAGGGGTTAGCAGGGGAGGTGGTGAGAAGTGGTCAGATTCCAGATATTTTACAAAGGTATATTCTATGGGATTTCCTAAACTTGATTGAGGCAAAATTTCCCTAAAAGCTTTCTCCTTGGGGAGTCATAAGACTGAGAAATTGGAATTGATACTGCATGTAATATTCTAGAAAATGAATTTTTGGCATGTTAGTATCATGTAGCTTTTCAGAATTTTAAAATTACTTCGAAAGCACTGTGCCATTCTGTGTGATGATTAACTACTAGACAGGTAGTTTTTGATAGTAGGAAAAGGTCATATATTCAGTGTTCTTATTCATAAGATGGCATCCAAATAGTCAACTTCCTATGAATAGTATAAAATGGCTAAGGTATTTTAAAAACTTGCATAGCAGCCAGTGGCAAGTTGGTTTAATTTAGAAGCAATGACTGTTTAAGAAATGAAAAATAAAACTAAGAATATTTTGTAAAATGCCATTGATTCCAGATACTGGGCTTGAACCCAAGATGAAATGGGCATGCTAAGAATACTAGATTCAGCTCCAAATTTCTGTTCTGATCACTTAATATGCTACTTTGGCATCTCTTTTACATCTTTGCATGGAGAGAAGTTATTTCTTATATCACATTCCTTTTCTGGAAGGAGGAAGTGCTAAAAATGCCATCAGGACAGCTTAACTCACATTCAAGTTTCTACTTCAGTTATTCTTCATTTGAACTTTACATGACAGCTTTTCTTTGCATTTTCTTTGCAGTGGTCTTCATTTGATACAAGAATAGGAGAAACTGTTCTCTATTTCAGAATCCTCTAGAATTTAAAAAAAAGATATAGAGGTTTGAAGAAGTAAAGTTGTTTATTATTGTTGGCTCTCTCTCCATATATTGGAAAACAGTTATTGGACTTAACCATTTAGTTTCTCAATAGAACTATTTGGACATTTCTTTTTTTTTTTTTTTTTTTTTTTTTTTTTTTTTTTTTTTTT